TTATCAATTCATCTGAAAAGAAAATAAGAGGTTGAGAAGTATGAACATGTTTGAATATATTCAAAAGTATAAGAAGTATGCTCTATGGTTGCCCAAGAATTGGGATCCTCCATATCAGAAAATTATAGCTATATTTTATGTAAAAGAAGTTGAAGTAGATTAAAGAAAGTCATACCTTTACAAACCATGACTTCTGCTTTATAATAAACATTATGTCGGCAAAAATTTTATTTGTTCATGGAGCTTCGATAAAACTATGGCCGTAAATCTTCCACCATACTTCTTCATGAATCATGATACCTTTCTGGAACTAGTAAATCAGCTAATCAGCTTGAACATGCATATCAATATTGTACAGTATCTATATATACTAATAGATTAAAATAAAAGGAAGAATTAATACTTTGAAAGTTCGTAGATAACAGATCGAAACAGAAAGAAAGATGGCTAGTAAAGTGAAGAATGAAAAATAATGCTCCATAGTTATTATACGTCTGAGCTTCATATACACAAAGTCACGAGTCTGAATAGTACTGCATATTAAACATAATTTTTTTTTGTTCTCATGTGTAGTACAATGCATATATAATGTATGACAACATCACATGGGCATTAACTTACATGGCCGTTATATCTTTTAATGCATACCATATATGGAGTACATACGGTGTACAATTCTAAAATTTGTTATTGCTATTATAAATTGCATTCATATAATTATACAATAGTATAAACTACAGTACTACGTATTAATTACTAATATAACTCCTCAACCCTGTAAATAAATACGGAGTATTACGTAAACTGTACTATGTAAATTATGCATCTCAACTCCATACAATGTGTGTATACATATTAAGTCAGTGATGATACTCCAGAATAATCGATTGAATATTATGGCTAAACACTAAAAATAAAATACTATGGAGAGATATAAAGAATATGGATATATGCCTTAGAAACTGAAACTCTTAACTTTCATTTGAACTATGAGCAATTCAAACTGAAAGAACACTGAAAGAAAATCTATGTAAAAGTGACGGACTAATATGCTTTCATAAGAACTTGTTCCGATCCAAATATATATTTTTGGCTTTACTTCACGTGAGCTTGCTCCCTCACGGCCTCATCACTGCTTTGAAGTCTAAATATTTTAAAGGTTTCAAAAGACAATGAATTTAATACTATTTGTTGTACACTACTGAAACTGAACAATAATGCAGTCCTGATGCTTCACGTGATTTCTTTTAGAATTACTACTCTGTTATGTTAACAAAATCTCTGTGAATGAGCAACAAGATTTTTGTTACTATTACTCTGTTATGGACTTATCTAAATAGATAAAGGCAAATCACGTACTATAAAAAAAAAAAATTGACTATACACGTATCAATCTATAGAATACTAGTAATATATGTATGCTCGATCAAGCTATAAATGAGTCCATTAAGTAGGTAAATTAAATCCATCACAGTTAACGAACACAATTTTATATTGCTTGAAATCCTATTAACGTGACAATTTTCCCATAAGGGAGTAAATGCAAGGATAAATTGGTGGTCATACAGAAGAGAAGTTGGTACATATATAGTCATAAACCATCTCATCACAAATATTTGTTTATAATAAATAAATGATAAATTCAGGATTTTTCCCTTGCTAGTCAATACTAGTCATATCATTGAGCTATTTATATTTCATATATTATACGAGTATATATATGTATATTGAACTGTGACAATTTTCCGCTACTTGAGTACTAATAAAGTAATATACGTACATACATGTATTACTCCGTAGTACTAGTATTTATTAATGAAATAGATTTAATACTGAGCATAGATTACTACATCTACTCATTAGGAAAAATGATTTTGGATTTGTCTTGACATTATTGATGCTAATCAAGGGGACTGTAATAGTACGTTTCAAGAAAGAAAATACAGCTCACACATTTTATCTGTATTTTTTTTTCTTCAATAATAGTCACAGACTCTCAAAGACTCAAAGTATCAAAGTATGAACTGTGACTCAATACCAGTCCTAAAATGCAATTGACAATTTGACAAATGACCGACACTATAAATCGGAAAGGGATATGATGATCCTTTGTAGCGACTGTTATCTCATAAATAAATAATAGAAAAACAAATGAAAATGGACTGTTGTGTTGTACGGAATATTTTGTTAAATCCAAGACATCAGTCTATCCATGAGCCATGAAGTTACTAAACTATAAAATAACCTTTTATTAGGGTTTTTCATCAAAACAATCTTTCAACCAAAAACTATCAACACAAGTTTTGTACTTTAAGGACCTTTGATTATCGAGTTGCAAAGTCTCTTATTGTTAAGATGGGCCCCTTAACAATTGGTATGACAGTAACTTCATCCAAACAGTTATTATGTACGTTTCTGTCGAAACCGGGAATAACCCCCTATATATAACAACACTCATGATTGTTTTTTGACCCCAAATGATGAGGTAGAATTGAATTAGTAAGAAGTAAATATGTCAGCTTAATTACTTCTCTTATTAAAAGTCAGAATATAGTACCTCACTTTATTTTCTCCTTGATGGGAGTATATTTCAAAATAAAATTTTAAAGTGCTTATTTTTAACGTGAAAATTATGCACAATTAAATGTACTATTAAGTGAAGTACAATTTATATTACATTATTGAACTAATATTTGTTCATTTTTATCTTTTCGAAGATATGGAGTTAACTAAAATTTCTCCAAGTGGCTCTGAACAATGTCTAATAGACAGTGCCACAACGCACACCATTTTGAGACATAGAGATTATTTTTCTCATATGACATTAGTTGATGCTAATGTCAATACAATCTCAGGTGTTGCTAAACTCATTGAAGGTTCTGGAATAGCCTGTGTGATTCTCCCAAAAGGGACAAAATTAATAATTAAAGATGCTTTATACTCCAGTAAATCACGGAGAAATCTTTTGAGCTTTAAAGATTTGCGTCTAAATGGTTTTCATATTGAAACCATGTCTGAAAATCAGAAGGAATATTTATGTCTAACGACAAATAGATCTGGCAATAAATACATTTCTGAAAAAATGCCAGCATATTCCTCGGGACTGTATTATACATATATCAGTCCAATTGAGATAAATGTGGTATCTAAAATTTATGACCACAATTCTTTTATCTTGTGGCATGACCGTTTAGGTCATCCAGGCAGCACTATGATGCACAAAATTATTGAAAATTCACTTGGACATTCATTAACTAATGTCAAGATTCCACAATCAAGTGATTTTCCCTGCACTGCCTGTTCTCTTGGCAAATTAATTATCAGGCCATCTTTATACAAAATTGGAGTTGAATCTCCTGCATTTTTAGAAAGAATTCAAGGAGATATTTGTGGGCCAATTACCCCTCCGTGTGGACCGTTTCGATATTTTATGGTGCTCATTGATGCATCAACACGTTGGTCACATGTCAGTCTTTTATCGACTAGAAATTTTGCATTTGCAAATCTCCTTGCTCAAATTATTCGTTTGAGATCACAATTTCCGGATTATTCGATAAAGAAAATCCGACTTGATAATGCAGGAGAATTTACATCCCAATCTTTTAATGACTATTGCATGTCAATTGGGATTGATGTGGAACATCCAGTTCCACATGTACATACACAAAATGGTCTTGCTGAATCCTTAATTAAGCGATTACAATTAATTGCTAGACCATTATTGATGAAATCCAGATTACCATCATCTGCATGGGGATATGCTATAATGCATGCTGCAAATTTAATTCGGCTTAGGCCAACGGCATATCATAAATTTTCCCCATTACAATTAATATCTGGTAAAGAACCAAATATATCACACCTAAAAATATTTGGTTGTTCTGTGTATGTACCAATTGCTCCACCTTATCGTACTAAAATGGGTCCTCAAAGAAGGCTGGGAATTTATGTTGGTTTTAAATCACCCTCAATTATTAATTATCTAGAACCTATGACCGGTGACTTATTCACCGCGCGGTTCGATGACTGTCATTTTGATGAGACAGTATTCCCAGCCTTAGGGGGAGATATTAAAGAAATGGACCCACGTACGAAAGATATTACTTGGAATGCAACAAATTTATCTTTTCTTGATTCTCGCACAAATGCTTGTGAACAAGAAATTCAAAAGATTATTCATTTACAAAATGTTGCAAACCAATTGCCTGATGCTTTCACAGACTCAAAGAAAGTGACAAAGTCACATGTTCCAGCTATGAATGCTCCTTCTCGAATAGAAATTCCTGCGGAGATTAGTGAAAGAACACTTGCTAATGAATCTATGATACGTAAAAAACGTGGTAGACCACTTGGTTCAAGAGATTTGAAACCAAGAAAATTTAAACAGCAAGTTGTAGTTTGTGATGCCAAAGAAGTTCAACCTTCTCAAGAAGAAAATGAACATTTTGAAAATATCGGCCTTGAAGATAACATCAATAATAATGATATCTCAAAAGAGGATCCAATCACCTTCGAAGAGGTAAATATTCCAGATAAAGATAGAAACGTCGATAATTTTGAAATTTCAATTAATTACGTTTCTAATGGAATACAATGGAATAGAAATGATATTGATGTTAATGATATATTTTCATATGCCATCGCCACAGATATAATGAATGAACACGATGACAATGAGCCTAAATCTATTGACGAATGTCGTCGTAGAAATGATTGGCCAAAATGGAATGAAGCAATTCAGGTAGAATTAAAATCGCTAGAAAAGCGTAATGTTTTTGGACCAATTGTCCATACGCCAAAAGGCGTAAAACCAGTCGGTTTTAAATGGGTTTTTGTGCGTAAACGTAACGAGAAAAATGAAATCGTTAGATACAAAGCCCGACTTGTTGCCCAAGGTTTTTCTCAAATGCCAGGAATCGATTATGATGAGACGTATTCTCCAGTAGTTGATGCTACAACTTTAAGATTTTTAATTGGCATGTCTGTTTTTGAAAGGCTACAAATGCGCCTCATGGATGTGGTGACCGCATATTTATACGGTTCACTCGATACAGACATATATATGAGAATTCCTGGAGGCTTTAAAATACCTGATGCTTATAGCTCGAAATCTCGAGATTTATTTTCCATAAAATTGCAAAAGTCATTATATGGATTAAAACAATCTGGACGCATGTGGTATAACCGTCTCAGTGAATATTTGATTAAAGAAGGGTATAAAAATGATCCTATTAGTCCATGTGTTTTCATTCAGCGATCCGAATCAGGATTCGCCATAATTGCAGTATATGTTGATGATTTGAATATAATCGGAACTCCTAATGAAATTGAAAATACTGCAAAATATCTCATGAAAGAATTTGAAATGAAAGACCTTGGGAGAACAAAATTTTGTCTCGGCATTCAAATTGAACATTTGAGAAATGGTATTTTCATCCACCAATCAAATTATACCGAGAAACTTTTGAAGCGATTTTACATGGATAAAGCACATCCGCTCAATTCTCCAATGGTGGTTCGATCTCTCAATGTGCATGATGATCCTTTCCGACCTTGTGAAGATGATGAAGAAATCCTTGGTCCCGAAATACCATATTTGAGTGCTATTGGAGCATTAATGTATTTGGCTAATAATACTCGACCAGATATTGCTTTTTCTGTAAATTTATTAGCCAGGTACAGTTCTTCCCCAACAAGAAGGCATTGGAATGGTGTCAAACATATATTCCGATATCTCAATGGTACAATCGATCTTGGATTGTATTTCAAGAATGGTGCAAATGCCACTTTAATTGGCTACGCGGATGCAGGATACTTGTCTGATCCACAAAAGGCAAAATCACAAACAGGATATTTATTCACCTATGGTGATACCGCTATATCATGGAGATCAATGAAGCAAACATTAACTGCAACATCATCAAATCATGCAGAATTAATTGCTCTTTATGAAGCAGGTCGTGAGTGTGTCTGGTTGAGATCAATGATCCAGCACATACAAAATGAATGCGGTATAAAATCTTTTACTTCTAATCCTACTGTGATTTATGAAGATAATACAGCATGTATAGCTCAGATCAAAGGAGGTTACATCAAAGGGGACAGAACAAAGCATATAGCACCAAAACTTTTCTCCACACATGATCTTGAGAATGACGGAACGGTTGATGTCAAACAAATCAAGTCATGCGACAACCCTGCTGATTTGTTCACAAAGTCATTGGCACCGAAGAAATTTGAAGAACTGGTCCATAAAATTGGAATGTATCGTCTTCGAGATATATGTTAAATTGAGGGGGAGTAATATAATGCACTGCACTCTTTTTCCCTTCGTCAGGTTTTTATCCCACTGGGTTTTTCTTGACAAAGGTTTTTAACGAGACAGTACATTATAATACTATGAATCTAATACCCCAGAATAATTAGAAGATGACCATTCAAGGGGGAGTGTTGAAATATAATTGAATTAGTCATCTTCCAACTATTCCTGATTAGGAATTATTATCACCATTACATAAATAATCAGGAAATCATAATTATGATTCTAGATGATAATTGTGTGGTTCACAATTATCCTCTAATCCTATGAAGCTTATCTTTTCTCCTATAAATAGGAGGCTTCTCCATTGTAATTAACACACCATGGTTACACCATTATCACACTCTCAATAATATAATCTATCACTAAGTGTTCATACTATATTTCTCTCCCTGATCTTCTGCTTATTTCCTTCCATATTATAACACTCCATAGTTTGTGTACTCAGGTCTTTCCTCGTACATAATCCGTAGTACATTACGGAGTATTTGCTGCTAATTGGTACTCTCTGGTCCAGACTTCTGCTCTGATAAACTTTTTCCAGGTAGGGAAGGGGAAAAGGCAGAGCTCTCTGTGGAGACTGGAGAGGAAACTCAAAAGGCATGTCTCTGGGCTATGCAGAGAAGCTCTCTTACATTGAAGATGTTGGCAGCGTTGGGATGACGGAGTATTACGACACACCCCATGTTCTAGAGGAGAAAGTGAGATTCACATTATCTTTTTCCGCCTTTTCTCGAATTTCCGTGCCTGCTTTCTTAGTTTCGTCTCTTCCTTTCATGCTTTATTGATCGTAAAATGTAACCTCAAGTGCATAAAACATCAGTTAGGCTCTTGTGCTGACTGCTGAATCGCTAGTTGAGTTGGGACTGTTTATTTGGTAGACTGGGGTTATTTGATGCTTTGTGCTCTACGGTTTAGTTTTCTGATTAGATCTTAGAAGGATGGTTGCATTGCTGATCGCTGCAATGCTTTGGGAAATTATAATCCTTGTACTCAGCCAGATAGTGAATGTGTAACAAGGAAACAATTAATTGTTTGTTGCTATGGAGGGATTCTGTGAAGTGGCTCTACTTATCTGATGTTACAATCGATCGAACAAGAACATTAAGTTTTGGGTGTTCGAAGTTACTATACATTAATAAAATTTTGAACCATACCATTGTTTGATGCAAAAACTGGACACATTTTTTCCTCAAAAAATTAATAAAAAAGGTAATAAATATCATATAAATAAGTAAAATAAATTATTACGTTAGCTCTATACACGTGTCCTTCCATTTTGCTGATATTTTTGGGTGTTCACCTATGTTACACGGAAACGTTAAAATCATGAGGAAACGGGAAACACCATTTTTTGCCCAAAAACAGCTCTTTTGTGAGTTACCAAACAGTTTCTGTAGAGCTTTCAAATCGGAAACATACTCTTTCCTGAGATTCATAGGTGGTCTTATAAACATCCTTGCAATAGAGTATCTCCGTCATGGGAAATTAGTATAAAAGGGTGAGGGTCTTATTCCTAACAACTTGAGGAGGCTTTTAGGCCCAGTTTGGTTGGGGAATTTCAGTGCGAATTTTTACTTTATTAATGTGTGCGAATTTTTTACTTTAGACTACAAATAGCTAATAATTAATTAGACCATGTATTTTTTATACACTATTTTGTCTTCCCTTTATTTCAAGTTTTCTAAATGTAAAAATTATTTTAAATTTAAATATGACCCCTCTCCTTCCCTCTCTTCCAAAATCACCTAACCAAACTGGCCCTTAAAGAACTGAGAGCAAGCTTACTCGAAAGAGGATGGGTTCAAGAAGGATTCTCATGCGTGACTCTGTGAGATGGAGAGATACTATTTTTGTGAGATATGAGACAGTCCAAAGATGATTTCTAAAGAGCGTGAGTGGAGTGGAAGAGAGTAGACTATCCAAAAAAGGATTTTCATCGATGCAAGTGATTGAGGTATTGAAAAATAATCACAAATACAAAGAGTGGTATGAGCTACCTGTATTTTTATAAAATCCTTTTAGTAGATCTCACAATATAATAAAGTCAATTTTCTCCATTGTGTCTTTTGTTACTGATTGAGTGTGTGAAGAGTACAAGAGTTTGTACAAGCTTGTGCATTGGGAGAGGTTAATTTTCCCAATAACTATTATTTTAGAGTGTTGAATTGACAACTAACTAATTCTACGGGAAAAGCAAAATGACTGCTGCATTTTGTTATACCTCCTGTACATGATGGCATGAATGCATTGGTCTTGCTCTCACCATTGGCTTTTGAAGTTTGAACTGGATCACTACTTACATTATTATATCTCCCGGGAATATCTGTAAAGAATAGGTTAAATGGGAGGATAAATGGCTGCTACTTGTTTGATTATATTCTTCTTGCGAAGAGGATAAGAAACAGAAAAATTGCATTTTTCATCAATTGGAAACTGAAAATCCTTTTAAAATCAATTGTATGTTTTACTTATAATGAATAAGATGAAAGGATTTGCTCAGAAGCTATCTATTGCTTTTACTCTTTTAACATAATTTGTTCTTTTTGTTTTGGGATGCAGGCTGAGAGGCTTGCATTGATGATTAAAAAGGTGGGCCCTTTTCAATAATGTAGTGTATTGTGTAGGTGTGTATTTCTTTTTTAAGATATGGATCCTTTTTAAGATTCGTCTTCCACTCAAACTATTTTGATGATACTGTTATACAGAGTAAGCATTTAGTGGTGTTTACCGGAGCAGGAATATCTACCTCATGTGGTATACCCGACTTTCGTGGTCCGAAAGGTATCTGGACTCTCCAGGTAATGGGGTGAAATGTTTAAGGAGTTAGACACTGTTCTTAACTTGATTATATTACTCTGTCTACATGGTAGAGACATGGTAGAGTTTCTTCTGACCTATTCTAAACTGGAACTTGTTAAAAGTTCAAAACGAAAAATAATCTTGAAGAGCCCCTCTCTCTCTTTTCATGGTTGATGAGTGAACTATTTTTAAATCAATGAGCATGACGGCTGAGAAAAATGATATACTGATGTGAAAAATCTATATTTTGAATAAGTTTTATTATATTCACCACAATCCATCTTGTCAACTGAGGCTGTGTGGTTATTTTGGAATTTAATTATATCTTGTTTATACTTATCTATTGTTGTAATGCATGCAATTTGTTTGTGTGCCTCTGTACCAGACATATTTGAGATGATTTTTAAGACAAGAAGTATGTGAGCTGTGTTGTATTTTAATGTTTTATATCCATTTTTTCTAGAAAGAAGGAAAAACTATGCCAGAGGCATCATTGCCATTTCACCGTGCAATGCCAAGCATGACCCATATGGCCTTGGTTGAATTGGAGCAGGCTGGCATTCTAAAGTTTATTATTAGCCAGGTGGGCTATTCTGTTTTGTTCTCTATACTCAACCCCCTTCATGTGCTCACAACTTGTTCCTCATATTTTTTTTCTAACTCTATATGTTGTTGCTTTGCACTTGCTGAAATTTTAGAATATTGATGGCTTACATCTTCGATCTGGTATTCCAAGAGAGAAACTTTCTGAGTTGCATGGAAATTCATTTATGGAAATGTGCCCTTCATGTGGAGTTGAGTAAGGCTTACAATTTGTCTGCAACTTGTGACTTTATAATTGACTTTTTATACATAGTTTACTTTACACTTTCATCACTCCTTGAAATTTAATGAATTTAATATGTAAAGGTATATAAGAGACTTTGAAGTAGAAACAATCGGACTGAAGGAGACAACACGGAGTTGTACAAAAGCAGGTTGTGGTGCTAGGCTTAGAGACACAGTTCTTGATTGGGAGGTAATACAAAAAGACTATTCATGCAAAGTTCTTATTTGTAATAACTTGTAGTTAATTTATTGAATCTCCAGCAAAGTTTATGGTCATTTGTTGGAACCATGTTTCTCATCAATTGGATTTTGACATTTTGTTAACTTTGTAATGTACCCTTTGGTAAATCTGCTTTAAATGATAGATTTAGCGAAATATCTGTTTGTGTTGTACAATATATTTATAGTAGTTAGGACATTAAGATTTAATAAATAAAAAAAGACTACAACGGAATTGTAAATGTGGTAATCCAAGTACATTTTTATTTTTTAACTACCTCTTTACCGTGTTTTTGAACTAGGCAATATTGGACTATACCATGACCGATGTGTAAGCAGACTTTTAGTTTGTGCATACCTGTTCATTGAACTGTTTAAAGCAGATTGCATTAAAAGGATTTACATATTCACATTTTTTTCTGTTGCAATGATAAAAATAAATGTTTTGAGTAAAGAAATCAGAAGAGCAAGTGGGTTCACTTTTAAAGTACATCCTTGCTCTTGTTGTAATTTTTCTGTTAATAGAGAAAAATGTCCCTCTTCCTGTGCCTAAATGAGATCATAATTGAATGTGTCATTTCATTGTTGATCTTATTATGATTTCAAACACCACTTTCCCTACCTCAGGATGCCTTACCCCCAAAGGAGATAAATCCAGCAGAAAAGCATTGCAAAATGGCTGATCTTGTGTTATGCTTAGGTACAAGGTAATGCGCACAAGCACCATACATCTAACACATTCTTTACTTTTCTTGGTACAACTTTCCCATGCTTCCCCTCCTTTATGCTATGAACCTGGGAAGGTTGGTTGTCAAAAAAGAGTTGATAAATAACAATTTGAGCGCCACTCTATCACATCAAGCTGATATGAGACACGATTTTGTAACATATGGCTACTTTTTTCGTAAAAAGCTGTTTAAGAAGTGGTCATAATATTGTATCATTATTTAACACAATTTTAGTGATTTAAGATTACTATTGACTCTTGTTACGTTTACAGTTTGCAGATAACTCCTGCATGTAATTTGCCCCTTAAATGCCTCCGAAATGGAGGGGAAATAGTAATAGTAAATCTTCAGGTACTTCTTATAATCATTTCAGTGTTACTTTCAGCTTGTCTTTATTATCACTGTCTCACTGGCTTATATATGAAGCAAGATATCCGGTCTTAGATGTGTAGAAGAATAGGGAATATACTTGTTGTGAACAAAAAAATAAAAATCAACGGGGTGAACCGTTGCCCAGACAAATCAACGATAAAAATACCGTTGCCCAGAGCCAAAAGGCTAAAACCAATTTTATTCTAAGATGAGTTAGAATGAATCCTAACAAGGGGTTTAAATACTCATTTACTAACTCTTAAACTAGGAAACAAAATCCTAGAGATCATAATCAACTCCAACAAGGAAACAGAATAATAAAGATCCTAATCAACTTCAAATAGGAAAGAAATAATAGAAATCCTAATTAACTCCTCATAGGAAACACATATTAGAAATCCTAATTAACTCCAAAAGGAAACAGATGAGGAAAAATAAAAAGAATAAATATTAATTAAACAGCCCGCAAACAGCCCACGAAGGTGGGCTCAAACCCGTGTTGGGGTGTAGGCTTCGGCCCATATAGATTTGGGAGCGAAATAAGCAGTGAGCAGCAGCTAGAAGTGCAGTTAGCCGTAGCTAGATGTGCACCCAGTCCTAGTTGGGCCTGTTTTCTTTGCCTAGAAAGGAGTGGATTATAATGAGATCTTCTCCCCAGTTGTGAAGATGACCACAATCAGATCAGTCTTGAGTATTGTGGCCGTTGAAGACTTGCATCTAAAGCAGCTGGATGTCAAGACAGCTTTCTTACATGGAGATCTTGATGAAGATATTTACATGATGCAACCGGAGGGTTTTTCAGATAGCAGGGAAAGAAAACTTGGTTTGCAAACTGAAGAAAAGTCTCTACGGGTTGAAACAAGCACCAAGACAATGGTACATGAAGTTTGACAACTTTATGAAAAGGAGTGGATATACGAAATGTCTTATGGATCACTGATGCTACTTGAAGAAATTCAAATCCTCCTACATCATCTTGTTGTTATATGTTGATGACATGTTAATTGCAGGACCTGACATGAGAGAAATCAACAAGCTGAAGAAACAGTTCTCTCAGGAATTTGAGATGAAAGACTTGGGAGCTGTTAAGCAGATTCTTGGTATGAGCATCATTAGAGATAGAGCAAAAGGTACCTTGAAGTTATCTCAAGAAAAATACATTGGGAAGGTGCTAGAGAAGTTCAATCTGAAAGATGCTAAAGCCAGAAGTACACCCTTAGGAAGTCATTTTAAACTTACTAAGAAGCAATCACCTAAAACGGATAAAGACAAGGAAGAAATGGAAAGGGTTCCATATGCATCAACAATTGGCAGCTTGATGTATGTTATGGTCTGCACAAGACAAGACATTGCTCATGCTGTGGGAGTTGTTAGCAGATTTATGTCAAATCCGGGAAGGGAGCATTGGGAAGCAGTCAAGTGGTTACTACGCTACTTGAAGGGCACATCTGAGACATCATTATGTTTCAGCAAGAAAGATCTTGTCTTAGAGGGCTTCGCCGATGCAGATTTGGGTGGTTGTCAAGATTCTGGTAAGAGCACTACTGGTTATGTGTTCACAATGGGAGGAACTGCTATTAGTTGGATGTCCAGGCTTCAGAGTAGTGTTCCACTCTCAACCACCGAGACAGAATATATGGCAATTGCAGAAGCAAGCAAAGAGCTTATATGGCTAAATAACTTCCTGTTGGAGTTGGGCTTTGAACAGAAAGATAGTGTTTTGTATTGTGACAACCAGAGTGCGATTCATCTCGCAAAGAATCCGGTGTTTCACAGTAGAACTAAGCATATCAAGATGAAGTATCATTTTATCAGGGAGCTGATAAATGATGGAGAGTTGTTACTGACGAAGATTCTTGGTACAAAGAATCCTGCTGATATGTTTACTAAGGTGGTGACAACTGAGAAGTTGAAGCTTTGCATGGCTTCAACTGGCCTTCAAAAATAGTGTTGAGAAGGCCGGGGCAACTAGGTGGAGCTTGAGAAGGTATGGTATTTACAGAAGTACAAAGGAGTGAAGTGGAGTGCAGCTGATCATGTTTCGAAGCCTCCAAGTGGGAGATTGTTGGGGTGTAGGCTTCGGCCCATATAGATTTGGGAGCCAAATAAGCAGTGAGCAGCAGCTAGAAGTGCAGCTAGCCGTAGCTAGATGTGCAGCCAGTCCTAGTTGGGCCTGTTTTCTGGGTGGCAGTCAGGCCCAGAGTTTAATTAAAAGTTTACCCTAATTGTTTGCCTATATATACCGCCTCTTGTACTTGTAAACGACTGTACTGTATTTTCATCACCTCAATAAGAAAGAAAACCCCAGTTGCCCCCGTGGATTAGGTCAGTAACATTTACTGGCTGTACCACGTTAAATTCGTGCGCCGTTCTTCTCGTTTTTTTTTTATTTTCTTTCTACTATTGTTCAGATCCTTGTGTGAGAGCTAGAGATACTAACCCTAACAGCCCGTCCCGCCTTCGGTAAACCCACGGGGGCTTCTTCCCCTCTTCTTCCAAGCCCAGATTCTGCTTCATATCAATACTGCACACTTGATTTTATTCTGTTAAATACTCTTCATTTCATTTTACTTGCTCCACTTGCTTTTATGGGATTTTTTATTTTTTATTGCTTGCTCCGCTTTCCTTTATTGGCATTTATAAATGTATTAGAAGCCGTAAATGCCCTTACTTTTTCATCTTTTATTTCTTACATTTCCTACCTTTTCACCTTCTCTCCCACTTTCTCACTCTTTCTACACTATACACTATCCCTAGAAATTTATTTTTGAACTCCATGAAACCTTAACTTTTATTGATGTGACTTTGTACTTTCTCAAGACTATTGCATTGTTTATATATAGAAATAATTGGTCTAAACCCACTACTAATAGGAAACTTTAACCGTAAGCCTTACGGGAATAAAACCCACAAGATATAGTACTACTAAACCTGTTATTGATTTCTATATGTTAGTAATAGCTTTTATTGTACTTAAAGCCTGCGATTTTCACCATGGGTCATCCAGAAACAGTCTCTCTGACTTTCTGAGCTTTAGTACAGGGGATAAGGTTGCGTACATCCGACCCCCCTCCCTTACCCTACCGTAGGTGGGAGCCTTTGCGGCATTGAGGTAATGATGATGATGGCAAAAGCAAGAGACGCTACAAAGCAGCTTTTCCTGCAACAGGATGGAATATCATCAATCATGTGAAGACAAAATTTCATATAAAAAAGATCAGAATGCTCCCCCATAAACTAAAAGATATTAAAATTTTATATATCCTTTTGGGTTAAACTTCGGCCCTTAATTTATGAAATAGATATCTGTTTATTCATTTACAATACACACAGATATATGCATAAATAGATTTTGGTTGAAATAAGGATATGATCTTATCATCTTATGAGTTATGAGAGACATGAGAATCAACTTAGTGCATTAAATTTGAGATCTGATGGCTCAAAAGATGTCAACAATGCATCAAATTTGATAAAAATGTATTTTTACTTCTGTAAATAGACCAAACTTTTCGGTCATCCAGAAAGTTACTGAAAACATTAGAGTGGTTCATGCTGATTTAAAAGTGCAGCATTCACATTTCCCACTTGAAACATCATTCTCACTGGATCTTGACCCTGTCTATATATGCTTCACCCAAGCTCTTGTTTAACTAGTAGGGCCTCTTTATTTTGCAGAAAACCCCGAAGGATAAAGATGCCAGTTTGGTAATCCATGGATTTGTAGATAAGGTATCATTTATATTTTTTCTCTATACTGATTTATTTTAAGAAATAGAGGTTAAACAAGCATTCAATCCCAGGAGTTCCCGTGTGCTTATGAACAGGTAATTGCAGGGGTCATGAACTTTCTCAGACTGCAAATCCCACCTTTTATTAGAATTGATCTTTTCCAGACCATCTTTACTCAGGCTTTAAGTTTAGGTAAAGTTCCTATATCTATACTTCTGTCCATGAGTCCATCATAGCGTACTCTCTAAGTAAATGCTATATTTACTCAAGTTGAAGGTTATATATGTTAAATTCTTTTTGACATGACCTCCATACCCTCCTTAAACTTTGATGCACTGATTACAAAATGTTTGCTCATGGGTTAGGTTCGATCCACTTATTTCTCATAGTAACTAGTAAGTTTATTTATCTTGTAGATAAAAAATATGTTAACTGGACACTTAAGTTAGCCAGCATCCATGGAAAAAAAGCCCCATTGCCTTTTATCAAATCTGTGGAGGTAAGTTTTAGTTCTATAATTACTTCTGCTCTGCTTTTTCATCTCATTTACCAAGATTTCTGCTATCTCTACACCATGAGCAACTTAACTGTTTTTATTTAAACTATACTTTCATTCTCATGTTGTCATTTCCAATGGAGCCAAAGACTCAGTATTTTTTGGCTTGGGCCCACCGTAGGTGGGAGCCTTTGCGGCACTGGGGTAATGTTGTAATGTTGTTGTTGTTGTATGCTTTCATTCTCATACTTGCCAATCTAGTTGGTATCTCGAGATGGGGAAAGATTTGTTTATGATACGGTTGCATATTTGTGTTTTATTTCAAGCACCACTTTGTCCATCTAATTTTTACTTGAGGCTAACTGATTTTTTTATGCACTGGGAATGACATCCTAGGTCTCCTTCTCTGAGAGTCCAAACATGAAAGCAGCTATTTTAGATAAGGAACCTTTTTGTCTCAAAAGGTACCATAACTTGTCTTCTGGTGTAAAAGTCTATGACTTGTTGGTAGATGTTTGCTATTTAAGCAACAGCTAAAATGTAAGTTGTACCTGCTTGTCATAGTTTTTGTGGAAATCAAGAATGGAAGACAAAAGGGTTATATCTTGATAAACGGTAAAACGGATTTAAAGAATTATTGTCATTTGGACCCTCTTTTAATCTCTAATCACCTTTTGATCTGTAATAAAAAGGTTTTATGACAACCAACTTGAATTCCTTAACTCATTAATGTATTGTTTCAACCTATTCTTTATCTCTATTGATCTCGAATATGATCCCCTGAATCCTGATCTTTATCTTCAATGCATTTCACTGTTCCAATGTCATTTATAAATCCATAAACTAAAATATCTTTAACTATGAGCAGTCAACTCATTATGCACTTCAACATTATTCTATCAAACAACGTTATTGTTTATGGGAGTAGATCATTCAGTTTTCCCTAGTGCTGGAAGCTGCAACTTATAAGATAATGTTCGAATTTGAATGTCAAATGTCAATATATTATGAAAGTGAGCATTTTGAGGTTCTTTTAGATGATCAAGTATCAAATGTAATACAAACTTTGACGTGATATTGAGTTTATATTCATTGAAATTATAGTGTCATCATTGAAGTGTTTCTTTTCAGGAGGACAGTAAAGACAGCAGACCCTTTTGACATAACTTTCAGACTGAACTTGAGTGAGGGTTGCAAATGTATTTGTGCTGAAACAAAAATTCCAGTTCATTTTATGGTAAGATGCGTTGCGATACCTGCCCCTTCCTCCTAAAAAATTCGTCCACATGATTTAATGCATGAAACTGCTCCCTAAGAAGATGAAGATACATATTTTCTATAGGAAGTAGAGCTGATGGCGTTTAAATACAGGACTCTGTAAAGGACTCTGTATATAACTTCAAGGACGACGATGGTTTGGTCTTTGACAAGCTAAGGAGAGAGGCTATGGCTGACCCAAACTGTGGGCAGACTGCGCTATTTGAGAGAGAGACCATCTTGGTTCCTAAAACTGACATATTTGTCCATGCCATTGTAACTAACATTGTGAAATATGAAGCAACTCAGAGTTCAACCAATGGGTTGAAGAGGAAACATGAAGGCTTTAATGGCACTATCCCTTCTCGGAAGCGATCAAAACGCCACTGGAAACCCAAACATCCGTTGATAAATTAGAAGGCCACACATTGATATTTCAGCATACTGTAAATAGTTTAGCGCCACTGGATGATGCTTCACTGGTAAATGTTAATTTGTAGGAGCCGAGTGAATTTTGATAGGTCACACACACACTCGGGGTAGCTTATACGGAAAGAATCTGGAATACAGAAACCAGGGAATATTGATTGTTTTTTTTTTCTGGGGGGGGGGGGGGGGGATAGGCCTTGTCTCATTGTGGTAATTTAATTGTTCCGGCATCCATGATGTGGTCTCTACTTTTCAAGGTTCAAGGTTTGAGCATTTCATCTAAAGATTCTCATTTCTATCTTAAAAAATAATTATTCACTCTTTTCATTGATACATTAATAATATCACAATTTTCATCAATGACATCATTATATATTTATATTGTATACGCATCTAATTATTTTCTTAAAATATACTCTATTCATCATATTTAATTTTTACAATGAGAATCTTAACTTGAGATAGAGCTAGTATTAAATAGCTACTCCTTGTCCTGTATATTACAGTACCTTTTTTTTGTCCTCCTATTAAGTTTGTCTCGTACAAATATTTAGTACTAGATTACTAAGACTTTAAGTAGTTGCAATTCATTTTCTTTATTCACATTATCAATTTAATATTAATTATAAAATTTCACTTTCTTTAATGATTGCACCAATCTATCCTATCTCAAGATTAGGGGGTTGGATGAACTATATTTATTTTACAAAATAATACTTGATTTTATTAGAATTGTATAACATTCTCATTTTTACGTTTGTCAATGTACAACTTTGATTATCACAAAATTTAATTCTCTATTAGTAGAAAACAGTATGAAAATTTATAACGAGATATCATGTACACCTAAACTTATACTTGGATTAATTTGGTATTGGATCACATTTTGTGAGAACCATTATATAGGTGCATAAAAATACCAAACCTTATGAAACCGGACCGGTATAATATTGAATTGGAATTGTACTAGTTTAAAACCATTATTACGTGATAGTTTGATACCAGATCTCATTAAGGAGAAAATTTTCTATCCCCCTTACCCCAAGCGGAGAGAGCTGCAAGTACATTGGGGGTGAAGTAGATGGGATTGAAGTGATTATAAATTTGCATTCAGATGTAAGAAAGTTTAAAGCATCACGACTGTTTAATTTTCAATCATCGGATGCCAACAAATAAAACAAAAACTATACATGTAAAATGCCCTCAATTCCGCCACATTGATACATATTCATCTTATATATCATTCCCCTAACAATGCCAATATTAGTAGTCCTAAAAATACATTGAGCAAGTATGGGTCAGACTCATTGCATCTCCAATACTTCGGATAAAATTGTTTTAAATGTGGTAGATAAAATAATGTCATTGATGCAAATGAGATTGCTGTAATTGACACTCCCCTTTAACATCATTGAAAAATCATGATCAGAAGGTTTTGTAAAGTATGGTATTAATCCCATTTCTCTTTTTGTTAGAAAACCATAATATAATTTTTATTTGAAAATATCAGCTGGAGAAAGAGAGTTAAATAACCAATGTGAGTGTTTGAAAACCGATGCTAAGAGCCTAGGACAGCAACGGAGGTAGGTGTGATCATGATTCCTGTTCCGGAACAGTTCTGGCCAGAACTAGCCATTTGATTCCTTATGCAGCTGAAAGGTCCGTTGAAAAGCTGAAAAGAGCTGGGCAGGGGATGAGGTTAAAAACATGAATCCAGGACCGGACCAAAACCGGCCCAGAACCAGAATTATAGGTCCCAACCCCAGGCTCCTATTTGTAAATGGCAGGACCGGCCAATCTGGGACCAGAACCGGACCAGCCCACCCCTAAACGGAGGTGGCAGCAGGAGGAAACTGCTACCACTGCTATTGCTGCTGTGTATAAAACAAATTGAATGTTCGCTTCCTGTACTTATTGCACATAGTTCAAACGCTATCCAACTTCACACTTGTGACCGACACCATTAACAGTTGAGAATATTTGCCATACAACAAAATTGAAGAATGTTTAACAATAACATGACCAAAACAATATTGATCATCAACTACCATCATTTTAGACAAGGGCTTTGTGTATGTTTTCGTTGAGTGAAAACATGATGCAGGTCTGCTTTAGAAGAAATCAAACTCGAGATAGTTATCTGAAGATTGATTCTGGGGTGGAGCTCCTCCTCCAGCACCTTTCTTGGGATTAGATGATGGCGGCGGTGGTGGTGGAGCTTCAAGCCTCTCAAAATTGACCGGCGGAGGGACCTCTGGCGGGCTAGCACAACGGATCAAAGCCCAATTCACGCCTTCGAAAAACGGATGCTGCTTAATCTCTGTGGCTCCTCTTTTGTAAGCCAGACGATTCTGTGGTTCTTTTACAAGTAAGCCCCTGATAAGATCTCTAGCAGAAAAACTGACAACAGGAGATTCTGGGAACCGCAGAGGCTGTCCGACAACATTGAAAAGGGTGGCCCGATTGTCTGAACCCCTGAAAGGTGTCTTACCGAACAACAACTCATACAGAAAGATCCCAAAAGTCCACCAATCCACAGCACTGCCGTGCCCTTCACCTTTTATGATTTCAGGTGCTAGGTACTCATGGGTTCCAACAAATGACATGGAACGTGCCCCCGTTGGCTCAGCAATGAGCTCTGGTAAGGGAGTGACTTGGTTGCCAACTTCATTTTTGGGCTTCCGCTCTTTCTTTGACTTTGACTTGCTGCTAGAGAAAAGGCGCGGGCCGAAACACGTTGTGGGGACCACACAGGATGGTTGGATACAGGAGGAGGGCTCGATGCATGCAGGTTGGGCACAATAAGCAGAGTTTTTCCTGAGGGGGTCCGTGTCAACAGACGAAGACTTGACTAATGTTGGACTGACAGTGCACCGAAGGGAGAGGTCAAAGTCAGAGAGCATAATGTGTCCATCCTCCCTGACTAGGACATTTTCAGGCTTGAGGTCACGGTACACAATGCCAAGCATGTGGAGATACTCCAAAGCGAGAAGAACTTCTGCCACATAGAACCTGCATCTCATCATAATAAGAAAATTAATATCGGAATAAGTATTTATCGAATCAAATATGAATTCAACCATTATAAAATTTAGGGGTGGGTGTTTCGGTTTGGTTTGGCCGAATATAACTAGTCATCTGATACAAACCAAAACTGAATCAATATACAACTTGGTTTTAGTTTTGGTCATTATCATTGTAAAATATCCAAGTAAGCCAAGGCATAAGCTACTCCAAGTCATGGTTGATATTTATATGCGTAATAGTTGCAAGTTTGTGTATGAGAAAGAATAAAGTAAAATATGGAATTTATGAAAACATTGGTTAAAAGAGAAAGCTTTTAAAAACTGAAATTGAAATAAAATTATTTATTTGAACCCCTGATAACTGTAGTATTTCCATAATAGTACAATGCGCATATTGTAAACAACAACATTATTTTCCAATTGTATGAATTGCAATCCATTCTGATGTACCCCAAAAATGATGCTTTCTTTGTTCGACTTCTTAAAGAAGTTCATGAAATATAAAATAACATTGTGAAATGACTCTTCCCCCTATAAAAGCTTAACGTTAAAAACACTTAATTTCTTTTGGAAGATGGAACAAATGTACCCTTAAACTTTATGTGTGAGATCGGACTAAACACATAATTTTAAATTTGGAGCAAATATACCCTTAAATTATATATTAGAGAACATATATACCCTTTGACTATGTATCAGAGAACATTTATATCCCTTAACCATTAAGACGAAAGGATATGTTTGTGTTAAATTCTTACAAATGAAAGTTGAGGGGTATATTTGTTCCCTAAATGGTTGTGGGAAAGTTAATATGGACAAATTTGTCCATCATATTTGTTCCCTAAATGGTTGTGGGAAACTTTCATTGAGCACAAATTATAAAGAACCTGGAATGGAGTTAATTACTCCCTCCGTCCCCCCCTAATTTTGTCCCGTTTTACCTTTTTCGTCCATCCCATTAAGTTTGTCCCATACCATATTTGGTAATATTTGAGTGGTTAGAATTCATTTTTACTTTATTCACACTTTATCAATTCAATATCAACCACACAATTCTACTTTTTCTTAAAAACCACACCACACCCCTTTGTCTCAAACTTAGGGGGACGGAGGTAGTATATGAAAAAAGGTGAGAATAAAATACAAAGTTTGTAGAGCCAATGAAATGTCAAGGAATTGATTAATCTTCTTCAGATTTGATAGCAATTCGGAAATCCTACTTATTTGTGAGAGGAACATATATCATACATGTAGTTTCAGTAGCATAGAGAACCTTGCAAAAAAGAATTTAAAAACATTTTGAAAGAATATAACGAAGTTCCAAACATCTCTATATGTGTGAGCTAGATAATTAACCATACTGACTTCCAAGCCTTGAGGTAACGAATTCTTCAAGTCTAAACACCTTTGCTATGATTCGATATACAAGTTGGGGCTAATGTAAACCGTGTTTGGAACAGTAATTTTAAGTAAAAGCAATCGAGTATGCCTATGTGGTCAACTTAACTCTCTGGTTTTATATATAACTTTGAATTCAGTGTGCGGTTCAATAGAACTTTTAGTGCAGTTTCTTAATATGTATCTTTCATTATTAATACTAATTTAAAGAGACAGGGGGGGTACACATTGAGGGGGGATACGGAGGTTTGACCGAAATTACAGGGGGGGGAGAGAGGTAGAGAGAGTCATACTTCACTGCTTGCTCAGAAAAATGCTTTCCTGGTTGCCTCTGCCGAAGCATGTGCAGGTCACCTCCTGGACAGAACTCCATCACGAGACATGAAAACCTCTCTGTCTCAAAATGAGTGTATAAGCTTGGGAGGAACGGATGGTCCAGAGATTGCAGTATCTCCCTTTCTGTCTGGGAACGAACTAGTTTTTTTCGGTTTGCCAGCGATGCTTTGTCCATAACTTTCATGGCAAAGTAACACTTTGTACCACACAGCTCCGAAAGATGCACACTCCCAATATCACCACTTCCCAACTTTTTCAGCAACCGGAAATGCCTCAAATCCAGAAGGCCGTCTCTGGCCCTGACAGCTTGGATAGCCTCCCATCTCGAGTCGTTTGCTTTGTGCGGCTTATTAACACTGCTGCTCAAGCTACTACAACTGCTTTCATCACTCACATCAGTGCTTGTGCTTCCCCTATACATGCTACTCTTCCCACTCTCCATAAACTCTGCATGCTCACTCATTTTACCACTTTCACTAGCCTTTCTTGAGACTAAGCTTTCTTTGAAAGTGTCGTCGCGATTATTATAACTTAAACCTGCTGAAGGTGTGTGCTTTGAAATACCCAAGGACAAGCTTGATTCAAGTGTATCAACAAGAGAATCTGCATCTTCCTTTTGTTGAATGTGGTTTGACTTCATATTGACTGCATTAAGCAGCATGGAAGCTTTTTGAACCCCGTGAAACTCTTTGGAGCACAAATTCTCCAAACTGCTATTTTTAGATATTTGTGAACCCTTGAACCAGATGCAAAACCTTAACCTCACTCACCTCGAAACACATCATTAAGCTGCCAAGTTTAAATTCATCTACAGCTGAAGCCTATCTGGTCAAGAAAATTAGAAAAAGAACAAATAAATCAGCTCATCACTCAATGCAACAAATTTGGACGGATTTTCAAGAGCCAAACTTATACAAAGCAAGTTGCAAATGATTAGAAATTAGGAGAAAAAGGCGTGTGAGGGAGCAAATACAGGGTCACATGAAGGATTCAATAGAAGCAAAGACACAAATAAACAGAAAAATCACATAATGTATAGCTAAATTGACTTAGTGAAGGATTAGTCTGGGAAGGCAAATGGCTGATTTATCATATTTACAGAAAATCGACCTTGTTGGAGATGTAGATCAGAATTAAAAGCAACACAAAAACAGAGAAGACATATTATATAGCTCCTACCTTAAAATCTCAATCTTTGTTTCAGGATTTGAGAACCTTGAATCACGGGAGGCAAAAACAAGTTCGCAAAAAAAAAAAAATATAAACTATTAACTGATATACAAAAATGTAGCTTGGCTACAACACGAAGCCATTACACAGCACAAAGCATGAGATAAGAGCAAAGATAATTGAGAAATGCAAAGTAGACAATGAAAGCACACAGATCTCGGGCAAAGACCCGTTTCTTTCTAGGGCAGCCCTACCAAGAGAGGATTCAACCCCCCAGAAAGATCCAGATGCTAAAAAACAACAAGGTAAAGGTGCATAGAGAAGAAAAACCCACCAGGCAAATCACTGGACAATTCAAAAGTGGCTGGATAAAAGCGGCCAAAAAAACAGTACTTTGAACTTTTGAAGACACAAATATCAGTATTTTACGGGTCTTCACTTTGCTTTAGCAATGGGGAAGAAAATTGCTTTAACAATGAGGGAGAAAAAAGAGTTCCATTACTGTAGAGAGAGATTAAGGCAGTGGGGGACCTCTGAGAAATGTGTGGAGGAGGGATAGAGAAGAACGGTTATGATTGTGTAGAAAAAGATGCGAGAGTTTTTGACATTTTTTAGACCGATACAGGGAATTGTTTTACTTTTGATGCATTAATTAATTAATACTCCGTCTCTAAAATAACTCTAATCTTGTGACCTTATTAAAAAAGCTCACATTTCATAGGCAAAAGTAAATCTGTCCAAGACTTTTTCTGCAACTCATTTATGATTTGTTTGACTATAAGCTTATAGGTATAATATTTTAAAATTATCAACCTCATTATTGACATACTCCACTAAGTATTATTTTTATTTTCCTTTTTTGATCATTTTCTCATTTTCATTAAATTTTTGGAACTGTGCACAAAGTGGTTTACTTCATCTACATTGAAATGTTTGCACCAATAAGATTTGACATAATGTGCGTAAGAGTAATTGAGTTTCTTAAACTGAAAACTTACCAAAAATTGAAAGCGTGAGGGGGGCCGACTGAGCATAATTCGGTCCTGACCGGAAAACCAGACCGATCGGTCCAGATCGGACCCAAAACATAAGGTTTATCCTAGTAGTCTCTTTGAATCTATGATAATAATAGAAAAATAAAATCCAAAACAAGTTCTATCTGACTTTTACAAAAGCACAAATTTCAAGGAGTTTGGTAAGTTGATATCACTTTAATGAGCCTCTTGCCTTCTCTAGTTCTTGGACCCGGGTTTGGTTCGCCGACCCATTGACAAGTCTACTCAGCACCATGAACCACCTTCACCATGGCGGTGGTTCAAAAGGAGAGTTAATAATTAAGGTCTTGGAGTCGTCGATGTCTAAAATCTCAACACCCAATCAGTTTCACTTCACATTGCTAGAAAGAAACCACATAAAATAACTTGGAAATACTTATAAAGAGATAAATTTCATCTTTAGAAGAAGAAAACCGATTGAGAAGAAGAGAAGAGAGGGGAGACAACCAGGGTTTTACGCTTCGCCACTCCCCAAGTCGCTCATTAGGTTTCCTTCTACCGATCAGCAAAACTTCTATATTAAAAAAAAGGATGACACTTCATCCCTGAGTGTCATCCTTTGAGAATGTAAATTGGGAGGATGTAAATTGGACTATAATCCCAATCTGACAGATAGAGTGGGGGCCATGTCCCACTATATTTAAACTATTGTTCGTCTCCTATGTATTTAGTGCATTCATTCAATTGATCCGTTTATGTTCGTCTCCTTTGTATTGTTCGTCTCCTATGTTTTGGGTCCGATCGGTCCAGATCGGACCCAAAACATAAGGTTTATCCTAGTAGTCTCTTTGAATCTATGATAATAATAGAATAATAAAATCCAAAACAAGTTCTATCTAATTTTTACAAAAGCACAAATTTCAAGGAGTTTGGTAAGTTGATATCACTTTAATGAGCCTCTTTGCCTTCTCTAGTTCTTGGACCCAGGTTTGGTTCGCCGACCCATTGACAAGTCTACTCAGCACCATGAACCACCTTCACCATGGCGGTGGTTCAAAAGGAGAGTTAATAATTGAGGTCTTGGAGTCGTCGATGTCTAAAATCTCAACACCCAATCAGTTTCACTTGACATTGCTAGAAAGAAATCACATAAAATAACTTGGAAATACTTATAAAGAGATAAATTTCATCTTTAGAAGAAACGGATTGAGAAGAAGAGAAGAGAGGGGAGACAACCAGGGTTTTATGCTTCGCCACTCCCCAAGTCGCTCATTAGGTTTCCTTCTACCGATCAGCAAAACTTCTATATCAAAAAAAGGATGACACTTCATCCCTGAGGTGTCATTCTTTGAGAATGTAAATTGGGAGGATGTAAATTGGACTATAATTCCAATCTGACAGATAGAGAGTGAGGGCCATGTTCCACTATATTTAAACTATTGTTCGTCTCCTATGTATTTAGTGCATTCATTCAATTGATCCGTTTATGTTTTTATTTTTATGAAATATGAGAAACGTTCGTTTTATTTCCTTTTTGTAAAGTGCATAGAGCGGGAGTTTTTTACCTTTTCAAAAAAAAACTTGGCACCCCATTTTCAAAAAACTTTGACTTTGCACCCCAACACATACCTTTTTGTGAAAAAAAGTTCTAAATAGAGTGCAAAGTGAAAGGTATTTTAAGTAAAATAGGGTGCAAAATCAAAGTTTTTTCAAAATGGAGTGCAAAGTCAAATTCCCCGTTAAAAAACTCAATCACAACCTTTTTTCGTTTTAAACAATACATGTTTGAAACGCGTTTAAAAGGCAAAAAATGACTAACTAGGCTATGGATGTTCAGCCAAATAAGGCAAATATCCTAGCAACAATATTTATATTCCTAAATATCAACGGGTTTAAAATATGCACCGCATTTTGACCTCCTCATTTCCCCCTTTAACAGTATAACCTTCTAAATTCTACCAAGCCCTAGTTAGGGATGGACTCGGGCCGGGCGGCCTGGTTACTGTTTGAACCGGCCCGGTAGGAATGCGGTTCGGGCTCGGGTCCTAGAATTGGTGAACCGGCCCGGCCGGTTCGGGCCAAATTAATTTTTTTTTTTTGAATTTTTTTTAAATTTTTGGGTTGGGCTGGGTATTTTGGGTCATTTGAGGTGGTTTGGGGGTGAGGGGGGAGGGTTGGGGGTTAATTAGGAAAAGCCAAAAAAAACGAGGCCCGGCCCGGCCCGGACCCGAGATTACCCGGGCCGGTTCCGGGCCTCCCATTCCTGTACCGAGGCTCGGCCGGGCCCAGGCCCGAACCGGAACCGGTCCACCCCTAAGCCCTACCCGTATCTAGTCATGGACCCGGGCCTTGGGTTTTTTGGAGAAGCCACTGGGTCCGATCCGGGCCTCAGGTCAATTTTTTTTCCTTTTCCTAATTAACCCCCTCACCCCCAACCCCCAAACCACCCCAAATGGCCCAAAATACCCAGTCCAAACTGAGAAGATAAAAAAAATTGAAAAAAAAAAAAAAGCCCGGAACCAGGCCCAAACCGGACAGGCTGGTTTGGCTTTTGGGTGACCCAAGCCCGCACCGGGAACCCCCGGGCAGGGCCTACCCAGACCGGTCACTGGCCGGGCCACCGGGTCGGACCGGTTCAGCACAGTACTGGTCCCGGGCCGGGCCACCAGGCTCGAGTCCAAGACTGCCCGTATCCACTTTTTCCCAAATTAAAACTATAGTGCTTTCTTATGTTCTCAATGATATTACTCAATCAGCACCGATGTAGCAAGGACATGGATACACATGAACGCAAATCCAGGGATACATTACAACAAACTGTAGTGCAACATATAAAATATAGCGATTCCTAAATGCAACATAAATAATTAAATATTAATAGAACATTAGAAATTATTAGTTACAGACTTGCAGAGAGTTACAGATCTGTTTTTGCATAGAGCACATAGAGATACTCGATTGGGTTAGAACTTAGAACTTTAGAAGCCTTGATTTTTAAATGCTAACACTAGTCCATAAAATTTTCAACATACCCAAGCACAAGTTACAGATATCAGTTACTGAAATTGAGTACCTCAATTGGGCGAAAATGGCAGCTTAGTAAGGTACTAGATTATAACCATTGCAGGCCATAAATGCATGAAATCATGGAGTATAAAACATAACCCAAAAAAATTCTGTCAACACGAAGGCAAGATAATCTAAAAAAGAAGGGTATCATGATTATTACAGCATTTGCAAAATACAAAAGCTTTCAGCGGCCTGAGAACTGTAATAAATGTTGGGATGCAATTTGACTTTATAATACGTAAATGCTCACAGCTAATAATAAAAACTAAAACAAAGTAATCCTACAGATTTCTAACGCTACAGAAGCTGAACCCCTTGCTGTATAGAGCTCAAGGCACTTCTTCTACCTCTGGAATCCTAAACAACCCAAGTTTACAATCGGCTGGAACACTGGTTAAGAAATACAATGGGCTAATTGAAGAAGCAAAACATTACACAAGAGGATAAGGGTGGCTGGGGGGGGGGGGGGGCATTAGCAACTCACTATGTTTTCAGGTCTTCACACCTTGACTGGAAGGCTGCACTTCATCCTTTGTACCACCAGCTTCCTCTTCCTCTTCCTCATCATCTCCTTCATCTGCAAGTTTAGTGAGTTCATCCTGGATCATAAGTTTTATAGATGCCTTTCTTGATGTGAAATCCGTGTTAAACCGCTTGGCTGCCAAAAATAAAGTCAGAAAATCATTTATTGAGAAAAATAATTCCCTATCCATTTCATTATTAATTATTAATATCAGCAATCCATTGTGCCAGAAGTTCATGCATTCAATTTTCTCTTTGAACCGCTTTTGCAGTTCTTTTCAAATAGGCGTGTGATGGGGGACAGGGTTTCTGAAATGGATATTTGGTTGTGCAAAACATACCAAGTAACTTTAGAATGTCGGTGAAGGTGGCCTGCAATATGAAATAAAAGAGGTCAATTGTAGACATGTAATGAGCGTCTACCATAGCTACAACATAAAAATAACACCACAAGTAATTTAAAAAGAACACCAAGGACCAAGTAGAACAGCTTTAACTAATACACAAGACATACTTAGATTCAGTGAGCAGACAATAGTAACCAGATTATACATATCACACATGATCACAAGCATGGATTAAATCTATAAATAGTCAGGAAACTTTTTCAAAGTTTGGCACCAAAAAATCTAACATAATGAATAGGCAGCTGTAAAGTTATCCCCATTGGTAGAATAAAAATGTAAAAATGTTTGGTAGAATAAAAACTAAAATTATTGTGATGACATATAGAGGTCTAATTGACCTCATTGGTAAATTCATTTAATCCTCACCGTGTTGAAGTCGACTTCTTTAAGGATTTCACAAATTGATTGTCTTAGATCATCATCAGATGGCTTTAATTTATCTTCTTTTGGTTGAGCCTTCACTTTCACAGCCTTTTTCCCTGCAAGAGGACCCAGTATTTTGAAAAAAGATGTCATGAATATAAGAGTATAATGTCATTACTTCTGTGGGAATAAGATTCAGAATGCCCATTGAGCATGACAAAATAGGGCCACATGTTTGAATTTGAACGATTTAAATAGTACAA